CAAGGAGAACATGTTCATTCACTGCCTCCTGTTCTTATTTTGATATGGGATAATACCAACCTGAACTCGCAGGTAAAAGTGGCCATCGGATTGCATTGGATAGAATTCAGGAGGGCGCCAATCTCTTAGAGAGTCCAGTTTTGCAACAGATGCTATGATAGAAACATGACCTTCCTTAGTAAACTTCACACCATTTCCAACGATGTTCAAGATGATTTGCATAAGCCGCTTCTCATCGCCTACGGCACAGATGGGAAGATCTGATGCCAGAATCAACGCCATGGACAGCTTCTTAACCGAAGCGATGGGCTTTATCAGATCCATTGCCTGCAATGAAAAGCTTGATGATGTTAGGATAATGTCAGCTGAGAAAAGTAAGCTTAGATTCTAGAATTCACCTCTTTGAAAACTGCATGGAGATTGAATGATCCCAAGTCCAATACCAAGCTGCCATCTTCAAGTCTAGAAAGATCCAAGACATCATTAATCAGAGTGGCTAGAAGATTGCTACTCTTGAGTATTGTCTCTATCATCGCTCTTTGCTCTGGAGTCAGCTCGGTCTCTAAGAGCAGGGATGATAGAGCAATTATTGCGTGCATTGGCGTCCTCATTTCATGATTCATGACAGCCAGAAAGTCGTTACGAGCGTGAATCGCTGTCTCTGCCTCTCTTCGAGCTAAATCCAAAGCCACATTTTGGTCCACGAGCTGATCACGCGCAAGCATAGACTCTTCAAGAAGTGCAGCATGAGAAAGAGCAACAGCTACCTATATGGATATCAAGATTTTCATGATTCAGCAATTCCTGATAGCTGTTAATTCAAGGAAACATGAAGACAGGTAACAAAAGGCATATATATATACATAACAGATAAGAATAGCAGCTCGGAATGTCAGAAAACAGCTTAAAAATTCTCTATGACATTTCATATAACTAAGAGAAACTACAAATCTTTGCGTTATGAACAGATAAGAGCTTCATGCTTTTAATTTCAATAAAAAACTAGATAAACAAGATAATCCATGTAACCGCCCAAGCCCACTGCTAGATGATATTGTCTCCTTTGGCCCATTACATGTCGTTGTTAGTCTCACGGTTTTAAAATGTGTCTATTAGGGAAAAGTTTCCACATTCTTATATAAGGAATGTTTTGTTTCCCTCTCCAACTAATGTGGGATCTTACAATGGTCCAGCGTTCTTGCTGGCACAACACTCGATGTCTGACTCTAATAACATTTGTAACAGCCCAAGCCCACCGCTAAAAGATATTGTCCACTTCGGCCCATTACATATCGTCGTCAGCCTCACGGTTTTAGAACGCATTTGTTAAGGAGAGGTTTCTACATCCATATAAGGAATATTTCATTCCCCTACCCAACAACTCAAAAGGGAACTCTTCTAAAGTTCCCTCAATTGCCAACCTTTTTTGATATGAAAGCTCTTGGCTCAAATCACCGAGCTCTTACTTGACAGCAAACCCAACAATGGCATCACTTACAAAGTGGGTCCCTAAGCGTAGCATGTGTATTCGTCTTCCTCGGCATTAAGATCCTATCTTAAAATGCAACCTAATTTGTACTATTTATTAGAACTACAGATAATCAATTACTTATATACCTTAACTAACACTAGTTGTGTAAAATATGGCAGTCAAGGAGCAGTGTAGAGGTGCAGCAGAACAAGAAATTACACAAAACCTGGTCTGCGACTACATCGACAAGCTCCAACTCATGATCCCGCCATTTCCTAACGCTATCAGTAGGAAGGATTAGAACCATAATTGCATAGCTTCTGGAAGAGCCATCAGGCCAATTGTTCATTTGGAAATTTGAAAGGTTCAAGAGAGGAACTCGAACAGCAACAACTTCTGGTGCCAAATATCTTCCTCCAGGAGGAGGTCTCATCTTAGCCAATTGACAAGTGTATGGAACGCGTATGGCTCGATTACTATTGAAAACATCATTGACAACAGGAAGATTTATAGGAATATTAGCTCCCACTGGTATCTGGTAGTTCAAAGCATGTGAAAGTTGTAAACTAAGTCCATTCCGTGATGGCATCCATAGAGCACATTCCTCAAGTCCTAACGTCTTCCCCAGCTCAACGAGTGTCGTTTTTAATATGGTATCTCGGTCGAGCGTGCTTCTTATTTCATGAGTTAACATTCTAACATGCCTTCCGGTTTCTTCTTGAGTGAGAATAAGACCCATCTCCCTGTCGAGTTCTTCAGCCTTGTTCTTAAGAATCAACTCTCGAGTTTTGACACTCAAAAGATCAGGAATAATATGAACAAGCATTAACGCAGTTGCGCATGAAACAATAGCACAGGCAACTTTTGCAAGAGTCATCACCACAGCAACAGCCTTCGAGTGCATGGAGAATGTCCAAAGGTTTATGAAATGTGTTGCCCCACACAGAACAATAAAAGCACCAAATTGCATAAGCACCCATCTATAAGGAAAGAATGCTGACTTCTGCACAAAATATATCAGCTCCAATGGGATGGAGAAATAAGCAAGCGCAATTAGTACATCTGATATGTACTGATATTTCACTAAAAGTTCATCAGGAGGCCATTGGGTATCAATGCAATCACAGGACTCCATCACTCAGTACATATCTGAAAGTACAGAACAATAGAAACATGTCAAATCAGAGTATTTCAACATCCAAATCAACAAAGTTCATACTCTAATGCAATTAATCCTTGAATGTTCATATGGAAACTACAGAAAACTACACCAACATTTGCATCTAAAAGCAGCAAAAACTCAGTGAAATCACTCTAATCCCCGCAAATTCCAACTAGAATCCAGGAAGTCGATTTCATAGATATATTACACTATAGATCCATCAGAAACAATGAGCTTAAAAACCTTTCACAGCATACTATTTCCTGTCCGTTTAAATCTCAGATTATGAACAGAGAAATGCCCGTAGTTAATTGAATCGAGGCCTGCCTCTGCTGCTACTGTCACCAAATGAACTAAAATCGTTCCAGTTCTATCTTCCAAATTAAATGGAAATCTCTCACATACCAAGAACAGAAAACAACTGATTTTATGATCCATTTGAAAAAGGGAATAAAAAACAATGAAATCAAGCATAAATCGAAGAACAAAAAAGGAACAAAAACTAAAGAAAGAAGAAGAGTAGGAAATGAATAGGAATACCAAGTTTAAGAAGGATGAACTTGAAGAAGGCTAAGCTTCCATGTGAAGAAGAAGAAGAAGAAGCAGAGAGTTAATGGAGAAATGCTCAGAGCTCAGAGGGAACTGAACGGCAAAAAAAAGAAAAGAGGGAAAGGAAGGCGAGTGGCCTTCACGGACCAAAAGAAGATACGGACATTCGCACGTGCGGTGCCTCACCGAGAACGTATGATATTGGTTCCTTTTCCTCTCTATTGGGCATAAAAATGGGTGCTTCACACGTGTAGAAAAAACTAATAATAATTTTAATTAAAGGTAAAAGTGTGTATTTTTTTTTATCCCATTTTAAAATATATTAAAACAAATTATTTTAATCCGTTTGATTAGAATAATCAATTAAAATCTTTTTATTTAATCATTTAGATGCAATAGAGTGATTAAATATAAAATAATTATGCCATGTGTCCAAGATCTTGAATTATTTAAATAAAACAAAAGCACTAATTTTTATTTAAATAAATGTAATTAGAAATTTGATTAATTGAGGACATAGATTCAAACACAAAGGAATAAAATAAGATTAAGATACCAAAATGAAGACATTATATATTAATTTTTTTTATAATTTTGGTGATTTAATGCAATAATCCTTCAAAAGAAAATAACAAAAGTTGGTCTTCATACATTGAACTTGCAAAGTTGAGCACTTGGTGGACCACACTCTTTTTCTATCAATTCCACACCATCTTTGACCTTTTTGTGGACTTTTGACCTTTTTGCTTTTAGTCAACATAAGTACGTAGTGGGCCAAAGCGTGCAAAAACATCTCCTTAATAAACATATTTTGGAGCGGTGTGCCAAAGACTCTAGCTCCCCAAGAGGGGTGGATTGTGAGATCCTATATCAGTTGGTGCGAAAACATCTCCCTAACAAACATGTTTTGGAGCGGTGTGCCAGCGAGGACTCTGGCTCTCAAGAGGGGTGGATTGTGAGATCCTATATCGGTTGGTGCGAAAATAGCTCCCTAACAGACATGTTTTGGAGCGGTGTGCCAGCGAGGACTCTGGCTTCCAAGAGGGATGGATGTACCTGTTTGGTTAACGACGATACGTAACGAGTTAAAACAGACAATATCTGTTAAATACTTATTCAATATTTAAACCAAAAAA